CCCCCCCATTTTGGTTTCCTCGCCAGTCTTGGCCAGCTGACCAATCCTGATTACTCTGATTCGCTTGGTGTAGGATAATCTTGTTTACCTCTCTGGTTTGTTGTAGTTTAGCCCGAGGGATATTTCTCGAGGCTTTATTAATTTTTTGATTTTCTCTCAACCTAATACTGGCCATCTTAGATTTAGTTCTTTCTTATAGCATGATCTGATTTGACATAACGTTGAATGTTAGAGGGACATCGACGTGGCTAAAGAACATATTGTATTTGTTGTTGGCATTTTCCAATATCATGTTGATTTTAGAATGGTCTGATATTGGGCATTTTGTGACCTTTGAGGCCATGGCATTAAACTTGTCAACGAAATTTGTGAATGATTCGTTCAGTTCTAGCTTAAGCGTGATTAGTTCCCCTACTGAGATCGGTCACAGTTTCTTGGTGTCGAAATGGGCTACGAATCTCTTGGCATGAAGCCTCGGGGTAGTCCCTTACAAACTCATTATACTACGTGATGGCGTCTCCTGCGAGACTATGGACAAACATCACTTTAAGGGCGACCGACTTATCTCGGATTGTTGGTATGACTAGTAAATATCTAGTCACATGAAGCCATGAGTCTTCCTTGTGATTAAAGCGATTTAGGAATTTTGACGGCAGTAAATTTATTGATAGGCCAGTGAATCCATTTAGGTAGGACTCGTCATAAGGCTCGGTAAGAGCCAGATCGCCGACCCCCAGCCTTTGTAGCGCTGCACACATGATTTTTATTTGACCTTCCAGAGATTGGTATTTTATACGCTTGCACGGATGACACCCAAGGGTTACTTTCTAGGGTGGCAAGTTGACTAGCCAGATGTAGAGGGGGAGGCTAATGCAATGGTGGGTACGTCGGTGCCAGAGAGGATTTTCCCTAGGCTGAGGGTTATAAAACTGGTACGATGGTTCGAGGACGGGTCGGTTTTGGACCATCCTCGTATCGTTTTGTGCTTGACCAAGTTGAGGGGGCCCTATGTTAGGTTTGGCTGAGAAGTTTGCTACTTGTCCCAAGTTAGGATTCCATATGGCTTGGAGAACAGCTTGAGCTATCCTAGATGGATCTACAGTGTTGTCTACCACTAGTTGGCATGACCCTAGAGGAAATTGGGTCATACTAGGGTCGGCTGCTAGTCTTAGACTAGGTTGGGTGGCTCTAAGAGGAGCTCGGTCAGCCCTATGACTGTTGCGGGTACTAAAGGATCCTGTGGCATTACCCCTAGCATAAGGCTCTTTACTTGGAGGACAAGGAACTACTTTTATGGGAGGATCACCTATGCTTAAGGCACCAGCTTGACCACTACTAAAAGCACAAATCCTATCTTGTGTCCGTCATCGGGATGATGGTAGTACTCCTAGTCTTCTTAACTCCTTGATTGTTTAGGGTGTTTTGGGAAGCGCAAACCTGGTGATCCCTAGTGTCGAACCGACGACTTAGTTGGCCTTTAGATTGATGACTAGGTGACCTAACCATGTGCCCAGATGGAGGCCGGGTCCCATAGTCCTAGGGGATAGCTGTGTGCTGCCTCGCTGGATGATTGGACGATGTACTCGACCTTCGGTATGAGTTGGCAGTCGACTCGGTGTCCGAATCTCTCACCACCATACTTGTGTCGTAATACATTCCTCTACTTGGGAAAACAAATCAAGCAAAAAGACATGAGTACCTCTAAACCACTAGCGGGTAAGGCTAGGCTTAGAGTTCCTAACTAGGGTAAAGCTTAGTTTAGAAATGAGGTAAGGTATCAGGGTACACCCACCTTTGGTTTGGGCCGCTCCTATAAGCGACCATGGGTCCAAAGTATTGTGGGAAGGATAATTCCAATCGCAGGTCACTACTGCAGAATTAGTTACAATTATGGTTGATGATAGGGAAAATAATTATAATGGAAGAGTGTTTCTCTGTAGGGCAAGATATGGGCCTCGTGAACAATGGGAATGCCCCTTGCTAGACAGTCCTTACCATCCTC